ACATCATCTGGGGTATTTATTTAATAAAGAAGATTTTAGTCCATCTGTATGCACTGAATGAGACTTACAGAGGCGCTGTTCTGTGGCTTTCATGTTGGGATGAAAGCAGCAGTATAAACACGTCATATCCTTTCCCCATGTTCACAGGGTAGGACACACATCTCCAGGACTGGTTTATTTATTTTACTTTTTCTCCCTAGGTGGCATGTTGCCAATGAGGCGACCTCATTGGTGAGCTGATTGGTCTGGGAGTCAGGGAGATGGTAGTCCTCAGAGCAAGGAAAGTCTGGAGGCTGGGAACAGAGAGCAGGAATTCTATTCAGGAGATGGGTCTGTGCTAAAGAAGCTGCAGCCAGGAATTCTGAAAGCAGGTAGAGGAGAGGGGGAGACAGCAGGACACACAATGGGAGGCGAATACAGGTGTGATTACAGGTTCAAGTCTTGTTCCTGGAACCTTTGGAAGTAATTAATCACAGACCTTGTCCTCAAGGTGTGACACAATTTGGCAGTCTAGCTTCTGGGAAACTGATACCTGAGTGCTTAGACCCCGAGTACAGTGAAATACTTGGATTGAGTGCATGTATTGCTTATCAAGAAAGAATAAAATGTTGATAGCTTAGAGGAGAACAGTGAAAAATCTGCTAAGAACAAACAGCTTCTTCCTGAAAACATACCTGTTCCTACTCTAGACCTACTGATCTGTAAAATTCTAGAAAATGCAAGAGCACACCACCATGTACTTTAGCATTCTAATGCAATATTTCTCAGACTAACCATATACAAGCGCCACCGGAGCAATACTTGTTTATTTTTAATGATGCTTAGCTTCTACTTCAATGCATTTTTATTTAATTACTGTGGGACGTGGCAGGGGGATTGAGGTTTTAATTTTTTAATATTTTTTTCTTTTTTAGCCCTTCATTTTGCAGCTGAGGAAATCCAGGTCTAGAGAGGTTGTGAATTTTTTCAGGGCGAATTGATTGAATTGTACAGACAGGATTGCATGAGCAACAATCTTCTGTCTCTTAGCTCAATGTCCAGAGGCCACTCTCAGCTTTATAAACAAAGGAAATTTATCACAGGACAAGCCTTAAAGATGCAAGTCTTGGGAAGACAGATTCCTCAGGTTGCAGCCTAAAGTCCAGCAGTAGGAAGTGACTATATCGCTCTGAGGACTGGAGTGGTAGTGACTGTGAATTGGTTTCTGGATACCTGGAGTTGAAGCTGTTATGGACTAAAGTGGCACCAATGTAGTGGTGGCCACAACTGAGACTGTGGGAACCTGGGGATGCTGTTTGAAGCCCAGGGAAGAAGGACAAATCTCCTTGTTTCTCTGCTCTTCCATGGTGTTCTCTGATTGCTACCAGTACTTCCTGCTTGCCAGACCATTTGGGAAGAGTCACTTTCTTGGGCATGTTCTGAGAAGGGAAGGTCACACTGGAGTTTCTCAGTAAATTGTATGCAAGTTAGAAACTTAGTCTTATGGTGCTGCTATATCAAAATACCACAAGCTGGGTAACTTATAAAGGACAGAAATTTAATTCTCACAGTTTGAGAGATTGATATAATGTATCTGGCAGTCTGGTGAGCTTTGCATCCTCTGAAGGAGAGGAGCCGTGCATTCTCACATGGCAGATGCAGAAGTGTAAATAGTTAAAGGCCTGTATGAGCTCTCCCATGAATACCTTAATCCCATTCATGAGGGCAGAGTCCCCGTGAATCTGTTGCCTCATATAAAGACCCCACCTCTTACTAGATCACTTTGCCCATTAGGTTTCAACACCTAAGGTTGGGGGAGGGAATGTCCAAATCAAAGCAAGGAGGGAGTACTCCGATTTTGAAGACTAGCTGTATTAAAATGGACAACCTCTTGTTCATTTTGATAATTTGATAAGTGATTGACAGACCTCAATCACTTAATGTTGGTGTGCACATTTTTACAATTTTTTGTGACAATCAAGGGCTATATTTCTTCTTTCTTTTACATGTTTACATTTTATAACCTTTATGTTTAAAATATGTATAGGGTTTTAAAGACCTTTTAGTTTTCTTTCTTGTATCAGGTCTGACACATTTGTTTCTTTGAGTAGTTACTTCTAGACATGTGACCAAAAGCCCAACAGCCCAGTACAAGTGAGAAGGCAGACACAGACCTTATTTCATCGTCATGTAAGGTCCCTTTTTTTGTGCTTTTTAAAAGAAAAGTGGAATTATAGTGCACAGTGTTTTATTTGTTCTGCCTGATGGGCCAAGTGCTTTGCATCCAGCGGAGCTGAGCCTTGCCATCCTGCTGTTCTAACAGTAGCTCCCCTGTAGAGCACAGCATTCTTAAGACTTGGATAATGAGTCTGATGTCATAAAGGGAGCTTTATTAAAATAAATACAATACCATGTTTCCTTTTTAATGGAATTCTGACTAATGCCATCATAAATTCTTACCTGACATTCTTTTCATCAGTAGGGGTAGCAAAGAGACTTCACTAGAGACATTGGAGGTAGGTGCCAAGGGTGCTTTGTGAAGTGTTCTGTTCTGACACCCACTTGGTGTTTGCTAATGTGTGATATGAAGACCTTTGACTATCATAAGCACTATTGTGAGAGTCATTAAATTCTAATGCTTGCCCTTGTTTTGAGACTATAGCGACTTAAATGATAAGTTAAATGTTGCCCCAAGGTTGTAGAGTAGGGCTAGAATTGCCTCATAATATCTAGCCTTGTCTTTGACTTGCCAGCCACAGGTGCCAGTAATGGGGCTTCATCTATATTTTCCTTCTGTAGCTAATGATAATGCTCATAACCAAAGAGAACGTGAAGTCTGGATGATGATATATCTATAAGTCTATGACTTTTCAGGGCTGGGTAGATGGCTCAGAGGTTACGAGCACTTGCTGTTCTTCTAGAGGACATGAATTCAATTCCCAGCACTAGCATAGCAACTCACACCCATCTGTATCTCCAGTTTCAGGGACTCTGATGCCATCTTCTAGGCTCTTCAGACACAGTGTCCATGTAGTACACAGGCATACATGCAAACAAAATACCCATACATATGAAAATAATCAAATAATCAAAAACATAAAAGACATTCTATGACTTTTCAGTAGATCTATAAAGATAGAAATGCTGTTCTTGATATATCTATTCTTTAGTCAACTGCACTGTTTTCAGTGTTTGGGGTATTTTATGTTGTAGCATATCAAATACTAAATATAGTAAGTCTCAAACTTTATATCATGACCTAATATTAGAAATATATGAGCAAAATTAATAATCATTATTTTGGTCCTGTTGTTATCATCTAGCATAGGAATTATCATACAGGAAATGTGGTCTTCAATGTGCTGGATAAATACCCCAAACTAGGTCCCCAGATTGTCTGAATATAATATATAAATGAACTAGAAATAAGACTAATGACTCAACATCTTTTACAATCGTGTGTGTATACATATACATATACATGTATACACACATGTATGTGTGTGTGTGTGTGTGTGTGTGTGTGTGTGTGTGTGTGTGATTTTTATCAAAGCTGGAGGTAAGTCAAGGGCCCTGGAGAGGAAATGCCCATGAGATAAAGAAGACATGACTTATATGGGAGTCAGAAAGCTCATTAAAAGAGAGATGTTTATAGGATAAATCTTATCTTTTATGGAACATAAGATAAAAAGCCATTTCATGATGGTTAATTCTGCTCAGATTACTGCATTATTTAAAACTCAAGAAATCTTTTAAAATTTTAAATTTTCTATTTCCCATCTACCTTAATTAGTCTTAGGGGGCTGTTTTTTCATTGTGGGCAATGAATTACCAACAGATAAATGGACTTGTTGATTGATGCTTTTACTTTGGCACTGTTCATAATTGAAGTAAAAAGACATTTGGATTGCTTTATGAGTGCATTTAAATTTAAGAAATAGATTTTTTAAAATGTTTTGATTGAAAGGAAGCCACTTCTAAATTCCTTTTGATTACTAAAATTAGGTCCATTCAGCTCAAACATGTTCTGTTTTTCTCCCAAGGAGAAGAGCAGACCATGGACCGTATCCCACTGGCATTGTATTTGTTCAACTTCCTTTCATAGCCCTCTAAAGGAGATATGTATTTGGATTACCATGTCATGGAACTGAGACACCATAACTACTCATGGTACCTAACTTCATAAACTACACCCATAGCTCACACACTGTTGTGTAGACCAACTATAGTCAATGGTTCATGGCCTTTTGGTTATATTGGTTTTAGATTGTCTCACAAAAATAGATTTAGTGTGTAATGGTGTGGGAGGTCCTTCTGACTATGTGCTGCTTTTATTGGTTAATGAATAAAGAAACTGGCTTGGCCTATAGCAAGGTAGAAGGAAGATGGATTTGGAGAGAAGCCATGGAGCCACCGGAGATAGATGCTGTGAACTTTATTCAGTAAGCCACAGCCACGTGGTGATATACAGATTAATAGAAATGAGTTAAATTTATATGAGTTAGTCGATAAGGTTAAATTAATATAAGAAGCCAATAGAGCTAATGGGCCAAGCAGTGATTTAATTAATACAGTTTCTGTGTGATTATTTCGGGTCTAAGCTAGCCAACAAGTGGCCATCCTCCCTCCAACAGTGTAACCCATGTTCCATACATATAATAAGATAAAGATTGGTAGCTATAACACAAGGGTTTTATTTTATCTTTTTATATAAAGGATGCTGAGGTGTCCTGTGAAAAAGCGTAGGAGATGATCTTGGGGAAGGCTCTAACTATCACGTGTTACTGGATTTTCCACTGTTTGAGAAAGATATATTTCTACTGGACTTTCATTTCCTTTTATACTTTTCAAAGACAAGCCATCATATTTGCTAATTTCATTTACTTTTTGTAATACAAGATGATCCTCATCTTTACATGAAATCTTATCCTAGACTGCTTATAATGCCTCTTCCTCTAAGCCAAGCATTCAAACACATGAGTCCATGGGGAACATACCTATTCAAACGACCACATGGTCCCTAAAATGAAAATCTTTTTATTTCAGTCATTAGTGTTAAACTAGAAGATCAGCAGCATCCACTTCAGGGCATGCAGAAATTTTGAGATTTGTTTTCTGTAGTATGGAGAAGAGTCTGCAGTGTGCGCATTTCAATCTGGAAATCTCCAGTTTCTTTGATATACTCTTAACATGTGGATTCTAGATGGCCCATGGTGTTGGCTTTATTTTCTTTCTCAAGCTTTGTAGGGTGCCACATAGGAGATATGGTTAAAATTGTCTTATATCAAGACCTGAAAAACATTTATATGGAAACCTTGTTAGTATACTTAAGGGTGATCCATGCAGGTGAGACCAGTAGAGTCTCAGGAGAAGACTGCTAAGAAGTGATGTGTGTTAATAGTTGGAGTGCCAATGCACATTCATGTGGAATAAGTAGGGTAACATTCAGATGGCTTCTGATTAGGTAGGGGAGTGTGAGTCATGAATTGTCAGCGGCAGAGTGGTTCCAGAGTTTAACCTTAACAGCAGAGGGGAACTAAGACACGTGTGGGTCTAGATGTTAGGGTAGATGATGTACAAGGAGACTGACCTTAGCGAACAGTGTTTGTGGTGTATGGTAGGAGTAGTAAGATAGGAAAATCAAACAACAAGAGGTTTCAGGCGTCACTGTGTTGCCCTTGAGCTTGAGTTGGAGTTTCTGGAGAGCCAGGCTTTCAGACATTTGATGTGATAAGATGCAGGAAGTATATACTTTGTTGTTACTCCTCTTGAATATTTTAGATTAGCTTGCAAGTGGGAAAAAGTAAAAACCTCAAAGACTGAATGTAGCTATTTCACAAAGTTCTTGAGAATAAAAGCATATTTGATTGACCTAGAGAGTTCTAGTTTAGAGCAGATTGAGCAGAAAGGAAATAATCAAAGTAAATAGCAAAGTCATTATTGGGTACTGGAAATGATAGAGGTTTGAAATCTATGGTGACTTAGTTTTACGTTTAGGTACTAAGGGCTGTGTTGGAATTATTGACAGAATTGGAGAATGTATTTGGTTTCACATTTCAGATTGAAATGTGGAAACTTACTAGTCATATATTCTTCCGTGAGGCAACGCTTTCAGTTTTCATAAGGAGCCACAGGTGAGTCCAAAGAAAACTTCATTTACCCAAAAGGCTGAAGGGACACGTAGCTCTCTGTAGTGCCTATTAGCATATCAAAACACATGCTGGCCTCCAGGGTCCTCACATCTCAAGTGCCTGTTACAGAGCTCACAGCCTCTGCTAGCTGACATCCTTGCTGTTCTCACCTCCACCCCAGCCTAAATCCCCCCTGCTCACACTCCCCGGTTACTCATCTTCCTTTTAACTTGGCTGTTTCAGCAGCTCTCCTCCTCCCCCTCTCCCCAAGTCTCTTTCTCCCTCCCTTTCCCTCTCCTTCTCGTTCTCTCTCCTCTCTCCCTCTCTGTGTTCCTTCCCCTCTCCTTCCCCTCCCCACACTGTCTTTCTTTCCCTCACTCCCCTCTCTGTCTCCCCCTCCCTCTCCCTCTCTCTCTCCTTCTCTCTCTCCTCTCTCCCTCTCTGTGTTCCTTCCCCTCTCCCCCCCCCCCCCCCGTCTTTCTCTCCCTCCCCGTCCCTCTCTCTGTATCTCTCTCCCTCTCTCTGTCTCTTCCTCCCTCTCCCTCTCTCTCTCCTTCTCTCTCTCCTCTCTCTCTCTTTGTGTTCCTTCCTCTCTCTCTCTGCTCTGCTCTGCTCCTGCTTCTCTCATGGTCAGATCCAGTCCACTGATCATGTTCAGTCCGCTGCTTTCTTTCTCAGCTCTGGACTCTTCTAGATGCCTATGGCTGCTCTCTTTCATATCTACAATAAAAACCTTCCTCTTGGTCATACCATGGAATGATGATGTCGGTTATTTCCTCAGTTTGTACAGTGTCTACTTAACTCTTAAGATTAACCTTAGGATGACATAAAGTGGGAGATAGGAACATGACAATCAACACAAGGTGCAAAGGCAAAACTTCAGGCTTTTAGTGAGAAGTGGTGGTGTTTGTAAAGGGATTGTGACATTACATTAACAAATGTGGCTATGGATCCGGTGTACTATAGGAATGGTCTTATTCTCCAGCTCTCTGGGAGTTTGGTTGTGAGGACTAGATGAGGCTCTAGAGATCATCCTTGTATCACGTCTCCTCTAAGTCTCCTCATTTTCCAGTCACAAGCTGCCATTTGTGTGCCCTGTGCATAGCATGAAACTACTTTGAGTTCTGCACATCATGGACGTTAACCATTTATTAATTTAAGAGCATTATTAATTTTCCAATGTATCTCAGGGACTGTACTGTGGCTTTGTTAGTGCAGGGGGTAGGAGACATCATCTTAGGGAGCTCATGGTCTAGAGGGAGGTGCAGGTCAGCCCAGCTGGATCGATGGGCCCATGTAAAAGGAGGAACTCATGCCACATCCTCTGTGGGGGTAGACAGTGAATGACTGTCAGGGAGATGTTTCTAGAGGGTTCTGGGCTGGATTTGGGGTGGTAAGTGGTGTACAAGAGGAGGGCTCTGAGGGTCTTAAGAAAGCATATTTAATCACTGTTGCTCCCTGTTGTCCAGGCATTAGAACCTTCTTCCTTGCATATCTGTCCTTAGCAATTCCTCTAGAAGACTAAATAAGGCTGACAGAATTAGATCCTGGGAGAAAGGAAAACGACTACAATTAGGACTCTTCCAGACAGTATGCATAGGGTAACCTTGTAACTCTGCTCAGACTGGGGTGCGAGGAGCCCTGTTAACAATCATGCCTGGTAACCTTGTAACTCTGCTCAGACTGGGGTGGGAGGAGCCCTGTTAACAATCATGCCTGGTAACCTTGTAACTCTGCTCAGGTTGGGGTAGGAGGAGCCCTGTTAACAAATATGCCTGGTAACCTTGTAACTCTGCTCAGGTTGGGGTAGGAGGAGCCCTGTTAACAAATATGCCTGGTAACCTTGTAACTCTGCTCAGGTTGGGGTGGGAGGAGCCCTGTTAACAAATATGCCTGGTAACCTTGTAACTCTGCTCAGACCGGGGTGGGAGGAGCCCTGTTAACAGTTATGCCTGGACCAGAGCTCTAAGCTGAGGATTTGGGATAATTCTCAGCTCCAGGGGCATCGAGATTCTGGAGCATTCGGTGGTCTGAGACAAGAGATAATATTCTTCTGCTCTGGTTGTATTATGACAAGGCTATTCTTGGCTATAAATTGCCCTGTGTACAATTATCTTTAGCTCCCTGTTTAGAAGAGCCCCGGGATCCAATTCTGCAGATTAGTAAACCAAGAGGATTTTGGGTTGGGTGTAGAGCACAGTTAAAACTACTTATATCATTCCGAGTGAGTGGTAGTGGCATGGGGCTGGGTGGGCAGCAAACATTTACATGATCTCTGATTCAACATTTAAGTTTTGGAGTGCAAGCTGCTGGAGAAGTGCAGATAGGATTCCTAGCTCTAGTCTTACTGATTCTTTGCTATCCTTTCTGATCAAGACTCTTCCTGTCCCCGTCTCATTTTCTGTATGTGAAGTAGGAAGGTAGTCAGTGTGTGCTTAGTGAGGGGATGCCTTCATCATTTGTGATCTCTATAACAAGTGTGCTGTAGGTGGAGGGTTACATAGCAGGAATTCATTTGCATTGTTCTGGAGATAACAGAACACCCAGCATGAGCCAACGGGAGGATTTTCAGATGCCCATTCATGGCTTCCTCACAGGACAGGAAGCAGAACTGGGAAGAGACTTTCTACTTGTAAAGGCACTAATCCCACCCTGATGGCTCTGTCCTCAAAACCTGGCTACCACTTAATGCTAATCTATTAGGGGATGGAGTTTCAGCATTTGAATTCTGGGTAAATGCAAACATATTGTCACAGCAGTGAGGAGTGCTGGTGAGCTGTTATGTAAATGCACTTTCATACCTTTGTGCATCAATGTGTATAAATATCAATGATGGATCTAGCAGGTGAGAGTCAGACTTTCATAGCTAGGATAGGGACAAAAGGACTGGCAACTCGTGACAAAAGACCTTTTTGTCTGTGGCTGTTTTAGTCACAACAGGGACAGCATCACTCACAACTGAAGAATATAACATCTCCAAGAAAATGTTTGTGCTTGCAAGGATTTCCTCTTAGAAAGAGTAGGACTGAGCCTCTGAAAAGCACCCAAGACTAAAGGTGTGTGTGTATCTGTGTTTCTCCCCCCTGTCCCGTGTGTGTGTGTGTGTGTGTGTGTGTGTTTATGTGTGTGTTGAAGTTAGTTAAAATACCCATCTTTGTTTCTTAGGAAACGTGTTCATATTCATGAATACATTCATGAATATTTGTATTCATGTGTAATATATATGAATCTAAGCACTGAATGACAGCAAAGATCAAAAGGTATTTTTCAACTTACATATGACATATAATAGGGTTTTGCTTTACAGAGAGTAAGGTTCTTTCTATTGTAGTTTCTTCCGTATTTGTAGTAAATTTAATATCTCAAGTTGGAATGCAGTAACTTAAAAGGGGAAAAAATTACAGTTTTAATAATTACTACAGTCTGATTGCCTGCTTTGTCTTTTGTATTAAAATAAATGCTGCAATTTCTGTGTGTTTAATACCCAGGAAACTCTGTTCCATTTTTATCTGCAACTATAAAAAGTATTACTTCTAAGTAGGCACACTCAGTTTATCCTGGTAAATAATCTAATTCTAAGTATATGTTTGTTATGAAGCTGTCTTTCAGACTGCACCAAATGGAAGGAGAGGGAAGCCAATTGTCTTTTATTGTGGGGCTGACAGAATGTTTATTAATGGCCATGGATTTGAAACGAGCATCTTACTAAATGGAAGTCTTTGGCCAACCTCTGACCCCTTTGTCGCAAAGGTTTGCGAACAGATAATACGATAGAATACCAGCATTTTTCCAGATGGCTGCGTGCCTGAAACTCCTTTATGTCTAGCTGTCATTCAAATATGAATGCCCAGTGATTATAAGTGTCTCTTTCTCTTTTCTGGAATGAAATGAAACCTTTTATGCATTGTGTGTTAAAACAGATGAACTGTTTGGCTCATCAGCAGGGAAATTATAACAATGGCTGCCAGCTCGATGGCGTAGTGGAGGAGTGTCCTTTGGTGCTCTGGGGCAGATGGCGTGTCCAAGTGTCAGGCTTGGCAAGGACGGAGGAGTTATAGAATAATTATTTTGAATTTTAATTTTATTACTATGTCTTAACTGGAGTTGTAATATCTTTTAATAAGCATGCGGCATCTGAATCAATTTTTACCAAACTTTTACATATATTTAATAGGTCAACAGTAATTTCTTGAAGTGCTGCTGTGCAAGAAGAGGTAGTGCTGTGCATGTGTATATAATGCATGTTTATCATATGAAAATTGCCATTGATGCTTTTCTACTTTTTGTTATGCTACAATTGGCTTTTAAATCTGTATTCTTCCTGAGGTACCCGTTATAGACCCTTTAAATCCTTTTCTCTAATCCTACTAATGTGGTTTGGCAATTTGCAAAGCAACTAAAGATGAACAATTATTGTGTAAGTCTGGTTGAAATGCAGACCTGCCTGGAGGGCAGAGAGGATCTGGTGACCCTTCTGTGACCTTTGTGCTGACAGGCTAAGGTTTGAGGGATCATCCACATTCATATTATGAAACCAGGGTACTTAACAAAATGTTGGCTAGAGTTACACTCTCAGCAGGGAGCTGTAAGTTGCTTCTCCATTTTGCTGGCAATCTGCGAAATGAATAAAGTACAAATTCAAGTGACCAAGTGGAAGAAAAAGAACAACCCCTCCCCATCCGGTGTTTCACGCCTACTTAACAGGATGGTGCTGTGTCCTGTGCATGTTGACAGAGCTGAAAGGGAGAAGAATGTTCCCATAGACTTGATACCTCTGTGTGGACAATGATGTGCTCACTTGGATTTGAGCATTGCAATTTATGTAACTTATACGTGCCTAGAATAAATAAATAACTAATTATAGACATGCATTCTTTTTATATGTCAATTGAAAAAATAAATAATTGTTTCAAATAAAAGATATTTTTGTTCTGGTGATAGTTTCTGTCTTAATAACAATTATATTTTCTAAAATATCCAAAGAAAATAAGTTTGCATAACTATTTTTTCCTTTTAGAGTTTTAGGGTAGATTCTATAGTTAAGTTACTGTTTAATGTCCACACCCTTCTCATAAGTTTAGTTTTGGAGCAATCACTGACTGAGATGAAATTTATAAACCATACAATTTGTTAATTCAATTTCTCTCTTTCTATTTTATTTACTTTTATTTTAGTGTTTTGAGACAAGGTCTCCCTTCTGTAGTCATTCCTGGTTTTGATGTTGTCTGTTTCTTTGAGACAATGTCCTGGTATATAGACCAGACTAGCCCCAAATTTGAGATCATCCTGCCTCAGCCTTCCTAATGCTGAGATTATAAACATGTGCCCCCTATACTATCTTGAACCCATTTTAAACTGATTTCAAGCTGATAGTACAGAGTTATTTCTATCACCACAATCAACTATTACGTGTTTCCACAAGGTCACAAAGAAACCCTAAGCAACTGTCTTCTCTTTCCCTGTTGCCAAGGGAAACCAGTGGTCTACCTTGTTTGCATGTGTGTTATGGACATTTTAAATATTTGAGTCATATGTGAATTTGTGCTTGTTTGTGATTAGCTTCTTTTGGCTGACATTTTTAAGGTTCACATATTATGCTATAACTTATATCAGTACTCCAGTTCCTTTTATGGTTAGAAACATTTTCTATGTAGACTAAGGCTGCTTAGACTTTCCACTCATTTTTGCCTGTTTATGCGACTTCAACTATATAAATTAAACATTTACAAGTAATAAATCATAAATTTATTTTAAAATAATTGGTATGAATATAATTTTACCATTTATTAACGTTGAAAACATATTTGCATATTAATGACATAAATGTGTAATATAGATGTGAGTGTGGGACAGGTAAAGAATTGAGTGTCAAACTAAAATGTCGTAAGACGGCAAAAGCCTTATATGCTGTATCTAAGGGTTTAAGCAGCTGATAGCAATAATGTTTCAGGTAAGCAGGTGGTAACTTCTAAAAGACAACTATGGAGTCTGGGGCTGCTGTACCTGATTGCATATAAATATATCCTGAAGATCTCAGTGATATGAGGCTCTGAGGTGTGGATGCATGGTTGTGGTTAGCAATGTATGTGTGAGAAATGGGCTGGCAGCAATGATTGGAAGAGATGTGGTGATTTGTGAAATCCCTCCAGCCACACTGTGCCTACCATGCACCTCACATTCTATAAACGCTTTCTGGGTTTCTGCATAAACTCAATAGTTATTCTTACCTTGACTTGTTGCTTTTAATTGTCTTACAGTCTACAGTCTGAATTTTTTAAAGATAAGCCAATCCCCTTCAGTTTAAGTAAAGCTGATGTCTTGACAGTGATTGTAGATTGAGTAAGCAATTGATTGTAAGTATTCTTTATAATTATTTATTTATTGAGACAGGGTCTCTCTATGCAGCCCTGACTGTCCTAGGACTAGCTATGTAGACCAGACTAGCCTTGAACTCACAGAAATCTGTCTGCCTCTGTCTCCTGAGTACTGGTATTCAAGGCAATACTTTTTCTAGGTAAATACTTGGTAGAGAGTAGAGTAATCTCACTTGCAAGAAAGCTGAGGGATTAGACAGGATAGGAAGATCTCATTTCTACTTACCAACAGGATCAAAGAACCTTATGTTTTCTATCTGGAGACCTTGTGCCTTCTCTTTTCCCTGTTAACCTGCTTCTTACATACCTTCCTACCTCTGATTCTCTTTTCCTTCTCACCATTGTGTTAGTCATAATGAGCACATTCCAAACTTCCATGGTGGCAGCTGAATGTTTTAGTGTGGAAACAACTCTACTGAAAGCATTTGACTTGATGAGTTCCACAGTGTGTCTTTCTAATTTTCTTGAACTTGAACACTCCATCAATGTTATGGTCATCACAGCACTCTGGTGTACTAAATAGTGGTCCCATTCACAGCTGCTTTTTGAAATCATAGTGCAGAAGTAAGTAAAGAAAAGGAGTCTGAGATTAAGGACTTGTAAAACAGATAATGGGTTCAACCAATTTTTATGGTTATTTTATTGACACCTGAAGATGAGTGGGATGCTAGCACCAAGAGATTCAGAACTTGACTCAGGTATGCAGAGGTCACTCACCAAATCATTAATTTGTTCTCTCATTCATTGTCGTGACACCTTTTTCATTTCAGTAATACTTTATGATCTATTATAGCTCCCGTCTAGCATGATAAGAAATAGGCGATGTGTGGGACCCATGGAATTTCCAAGCATGTATTCTCACCCTAATAAAGAGTTAAGATAGTAATCACTGTGAGAAAGCTGTGACAGAACTTAGCAAAGGCATTCTCCCAACTGCTCAGGATCAGGACTGTACGGTGGGAGCCACTATGCTCCCCACATACAACTGTGCGAGTAAGAGGAACGTTATTTAGCCCAAGATGCTAAATATGCATGCAAAAACATGCAGCCTATGGTGGAGCCCGTCTATGCCTCTGCTGTGGAAGGCTAGCACTGGTTCTTGTTGCTCCAGGGCTGAACTACTGCCAAGCCAACCCTAATTCTAAATCACTTCTTCACTGTGAACATACTTGCAAAGAGAAAGTGACTTGTGTCTCAGGATATTTTATTATCTGATCTATCAAAGTAATGCATATTCTTTAGAAAAAGAGTCACAAAACTTTTCTTTTTCACACTTCTTGCAATGCAAATAGCAGAAAATTAGGCAATAAAGATGTTGACAATGATGTCAGGAAGTGGGATGATCAGATACTTTCAATCATTTTATTTTACTATCACTAAATCTAAAAATCTCAATATTGTTTCACTTAGGGTCATAAGTCTACCTTACAAATATAGCTCCTAAGAATTAATTGTGTGCAAGTTTGTTCTTTGCTTCATAGGGTAGTCAGATGTCACATAAGTTTAGAAATTCCTGTTTGGATTTTAGTCTGTTTGAATAGACCAAGGACAATTCTGTAGAAAAGTTCACAGAATGTTTGCCTGGCATGGCACCTTTCACAGGCTGCACCTGAAAGTAAAGGCAGCTGGATCTACTGTGCTGTCTTATGCCACCACGGCATTGGCTGGACTGGCAGAGGATCAGCTCTCTGTCCATGTCGCTGACAGAGGGTCTCATGATGAAGAAAGCGTTGAAGAGGTAGGAAGCCATGCTGAGAATTGGCACTGAAAGACTTGATGGCTCCCTTCTTTCCTGTCTTCATGTTGTTGTCCGATGACTGGTACTGGTGACACAGCGAGATGCTGGTCAATGCTGGGGATAGGAATTGAGGAGGAAGAAGTTGGCTGAGAAGAAAAATGATTTAGGTAAGAATATCAAACATTGTTGACTGTCTCGTAAGACAGGAAGTTTTCTATCCTTTAGCCAATTTAAACAGTCATTGTGAGAGGTCACTTCAGTAGTCATCGTTTCCTTCTGAGGAGATGAAAATTCAGAGTCAAACATATCTTCATAAAGAAAACTGTACAGATAAAATAGTCTTTTGCTTCTTTTTTTAAATCTTCATGTCATTTCCAGACCCTAGGCAAAGTGGAGACTCAGAATTCTAAAGGTGAGAGAGTGCCGTGCTCTTTGAGCTCAGTTAGAGCTCTCCAGTGTAGCAAGAAAGTGGGGTTTGTCCATTCACTTTGCAAACTTTCCTTTGTTTTTCGCTGTTTTTGAATAACTGATTAGCTGCAGGTGTGAGACTGGACGCTACACGTGAGACATGCGCTCTGTCTCCATGCAGCTTGCCGACAGACTGCTGGGCAGAAAGACAATGAAGAAACACAATAGAGCACTCTAATGAGTCTTGTGATGATTCTTTTGATAGAGAATAAATTTAATAAATAATTATACTCAGAATTATGAAATCATGAGATAAATGAATATAATGCCTTGTGTTATAGTCTAATAACCATGATTTCCTCCTATTTTTCTTTGAAAATTCTTTTTATTGTGGAAAAACTTAAGCTTACACAAATGTAGTAAGAATGTATTATGATTCTCTTATCCCCACAAATACTGATTACCCAGCTCTTGATTCCTCAGCCATGGTCAGTGTGGCTTTGCTTTTTTCTTTAGCTCTCTATTTCTATAATGGTTTTGTTGCCTGTTTTACATTTTTGCAGATTCTGAGCATCTTGTAGTGAACAGGTTTGTGTGTGTGTGTGTGTGTGTGTGTGTGTGTGTATGTCAATGGGCTATGTTGAACATTGCTTTACTTCTCATATTTATATTTTTTATCATGTGTGTGTGTGTGAATGAGTGAGTGTGAGTGAGTTTGCACATTTGACTAAAAGCGTAATTTGATTACCCTCGAGCTGGAGTTGCAGGTTGTTGTGAGACATTTTTTTGTGTTTTAGTATGGATAAAAGCCCTTGGGACTCTAACTCAGGTCTTTTCTTAATACCAGAAGTCTCTTAACTACTGACACATTTCTTCAACCCCTAAAAATTATTTTCCAAATAATTTCTATCCTTTTTATTTGGCCAATCTGAAAGGTAAGAATGTATGAATGTGTTTGAACAGAAAGGCCATAAGATGGTTACTCAACTTGAGGGTCAAGATTGAATAATTTAACTTCTAAAAAGCCTTCCTTTCCTGGCTTTTGTTTGTCTGGTGGAAAAGGTATGGAGTGTAGGAAGGGAAGAAAAGAAAAGAGAAGAGAAAAAACCCTTTATTATGTGTAAATATTGAATTCTTTCTAAATAGAATTCAATTAAGTTAAGCTTAATAAGAAAAGAAGTTGCCGTAAATATTTGTGTCTGTGATACACACATGTGTGAATTTGTATAAATGCAGCAGTCTCAGGTTTTTTTTTAACAACTAAGCTGACTGCAGAATTGCATGTTGGAAATAAACTTGTCAAATCTATTGGCCCTGTCTTTTCAGACCTCATCGAGGTCTGTGATGAGGACATTGTATTCCATAGTACTGTGTCATGCTCCCACAATTCATGTCTGAAAATGGAATAGTTTTTCTCATGTAGCTGGAGCGGAGGTGGATTCTTTTTGGTCTAGATCTGATGCATTAATCCTATAGAACAAGTAGGGGAAGCTGTGAATAATTACTGACTGATACACACAGTCCTCTGCACAGTTTACTGCTGAAAGTACCTCAGAGATACTGGGATTACCTTCTCTCTCCAGGCACAGCAGTGGCAACCAGGGGAAACCAGGGCGAGTGGTGTTAGCCCAAGAATATCAAGGGAAGGCCGTTGTTTGCCTAGGATTATATGGCTAACATCTGATTGTGCTCTGTAAACTCATTTCAGTTTTTAAACATCTCTATTAGAAACTAGGGAGTTAGGAATTTTGATCATTTTTATCTGTGAGTATATGGTTTCAGGTGGTCCAGTGAGTGTGGGAACTGAGCCGAGAACTCGTCTTTTTACCAGATGCCGCTGTTTTTATGTTGGGCCACCTATGTGGGGAGCACTTCAGGGTTATTTGTAAGAGTGACCCAGGGGAAGACTCCAATCTTTGCAGAATATGTTTTCTGGATGTTGGGGTTATGATGTCTTTGGAAAGTTGTTGTATGGGAAGAGTTTAGGACATTGTGTGTCTGGAAGAGTTATTGAAAGTTTGCATATGTCATCATAATGCAATAGAACCTCTGTGCTTTTGCTTAATCAGAGGAAGTGATTGTGATTCTGCCTTACTGGAGCACACTATTAATGCCTTGTGTGTTTTAGTATGGATAAAAGCCCTTTGCAGACCCAGTTGCTAATGAGTGCTTTCCAAAATACTTAGCATTTAGCAGTTAAGACCATGAAGTTAAAAGTGAGCTCAGGTATGGACTGCGGACTGCTGTCTCTCACCCATTCCTTTGCTGACATCTTGAAGCAGGGGTAATAATTTGCAACTTTATGATTTGGACATTACACTTCCTAGCTTACCAGTTTTCCTGAGTTTATTTTTACCTCATGCATCCTATAAAGTAAAAAATAAAATACCTTTTCTACTTGCAAGTTGGACAGTTAGAAAATAGAATCGTCTTGTAATACAGAGAATCTGAATGGAGGCTGCCAACATTCATATATCAGTTTCTGCTACGACTGTGCAACAGGTAGGTCTTTTTCCTTCAACCTCAACTTTCTCTTGTGTAGTATGAGGGAGATGATAGTGTTTGTGTGATAAGGCTGTTGTAAGAACATTTGTTAAATGCTTGGAATAATACCTGGCACATAGAGTTCATGTAAGAACTAAGTTAAATATTATCCATAACATTGTCACATTTTTTTTTGTCAGTGATGGACTTAATATCAGGTGGTGGACCTAGAGCGTGATAATGAGGTTTATATTCTCATCTCTTAGTACTTCCCATGTATCTTTTCAAGGGTTAGGGATGGTTCGTGACTCAAGTGCTCGCCATTGCATCCCGGCAGTTTACAGTTCTCAGTGTAGTCATCCGACTTGTAGGTAGATAGTCTGGAGGCACCAGCATGCAGTAGTGATTCGTGGATGTATGCTATGTATGTGTGTATAATATTACATACCATGTACATATCATGTTGTTTAAGTGGCACATTATTGGGTATTTAGGTTATTACACATTTTTTTTTACAATGACAAGTATTTCTGTGTTAAAAAACCCTTCCAGTTTCTAAAGTATTCATAATTTTTTTCTATGACCAACTTTTTGAATTGTAATTTCTGGCTGAATAGAATGTATGTACTTTAAAAAATATTGCCATAGTTTAGACAGAGAATTTATTAAGGGATCTAAAGTTGCTCACACCTATGTT